AAGGAGAAACAACAAAGACGTGTGGACGAAAGCCTGCTTTTTCTAGCTAACAGACTAAAAAGGGGGCAACCCAGCAGGACAGAAAACGGTCAGACAATACCTGCCTGTTCCAGCCAAGACACATCGTAAATAAACTTCAAACTGAAGACAAAGAAAAAGAAAACTCTTTAAAACCATCAAGTAAGAATCACTTTTCCTATAGTAGGAAAAATAGTTCAAATAACAGCAGATTTCTCATCAGAAAGCAGAAATGTTGGGGAAATACAACAGACTTTCTTTCTCTCTTGAGTTTCTCCGAGTTTGACAGTCAAAGTAATAAGCATAACAGTGTCTAATGTGGATCTCAATGTCTGTAAAGAATGTATTTAAGACAATTACATTATAAATGGGGGATGGGGTAAAGGGACACAAAGGCAGAGAAGGTTTCCATACTTCATTGGTGGTGAAAGAAATCTACCCTTGGACAAAATGGCACAGAATTACACACATACAGTAAACCAATATCCATTTCCTGGTGTTGATATTTTACTAGAGTTATGCCAGGTTGAACCATTGGGAAAACTGGGTAAAAGACCTCTCTGTACTAACTTTGCAACTTCCTGTAAATCTATAATTATTTTTAAAAAATATTTTTTTTCTTTATTGATTTTAGAGAGAGGGGAAGGGAGAGGGAGAGACAGAAACATCGATGAGAGAGAACATTGATTGGCCACCTCCTGCATGCCCCTCACTGGGGATCTGGCCCTGACTGGGAATCAAACTGGTGACCTCTTGGTGCATATGTCAACGCTCAACCACTGAGCCACACCGGTCAGGCTAAATCTATAATAATTTTAAAATAAAAGTTTAAAAACATTGTAAGTGTGGTTCACAAGACATTTCTATTCCTAGATTAAAGGTAAACAGGTCCTGGCTGGTGTGGCTCAGTTGGTTAGAGCGTCGTTCTGTGCTTATTGGAAGGTTATGGGTTTGATTCCTGGCGAGGGCACATACCTAGGTCGTGGGTTCAATCCCTGGTCGGGGTGTGTAAGGGAGGCAACCGATCGATGTATCTCACATAGATGTTTTTCTCTCTCTCCCTTCCTCCCTCTCTAAAAATATCAAAACAAAACTACTCGAAGGTAAATCTACAAAGATATACAGTGTTCAATTACACTACTGGTTCAATTTTTCTGTAGGTTTAAAAAATTTCAAAATAGTAAATTGAGGAAGAAATGAAATTAAGCCAGAAAAGATCAACAAATCCGGGGCCAGCCCTCACCAGCAGGTCGTATCTGCCACCAGCTGCAAGGATTTCAGTCACAGCCCTTTGCCTCCGTCTGATGAATGCCACAAACTGGAAGATGATCCCGCTGTGCTGCTGCACCTTGTAAACCAAGCCCAAATTGATCAAGACCTGTCAAGGGAAACGCCACATGAACATGTCAATGGCACTGTTTTCCATCAACAGCATCAGCACAATCTATTTAGCATAAACCAGACATTCAGTAAGATCTGGCACAAAGTGTGTTTCACTAGAGCCCGCCAAGTGAGAGAAACTGCTGTCTGCGAGAACAACCACTGCTCTGAGGCCAAGCGACATACTTGTAATAAGAATTGCCTCACAATAGGAATCGTGATGCTTGCACAGAAATTCTGATTTAAGTCAAAATTATTACTAGATATCAAATGTTCCAAAATGTAGAAAGCAGAGCTGTTCTGGAAATAAAACTTATTAGCATCAATACAATAAAACCCACCTCCCTCTCGTGCTGTTATTCATGCTGCAAATCTATGACAGAATCAAACAAATGCCAAACCTGTAACTTTATGCCAAATTTCTTCAACAGTCCAACAACCTCCTCTAGATCTTTTAAGCCATACTTCACCAATTGGGCAACGCCTATTTTCTGTTTTATTAATGAATTTATTGTTGATGTTAGATCTTGCAAATCTCCCTTCTGCTCAATAAATTTGTAGAGTCGACATAGCTAGAAAGCAAAGAGGCACAGTCAGCTTCCAGTCCGCGGCAGGGAAGACTTGCTTTGCACTGTTTTGTACACCCAGGGGGACCCAGGAGAGCCTTTGCGCCTCCAAGAGGAAGATTTTGTAGTTGACAGTTATTTCAGCCTTTACCACAATCCCAGATGAGGACTATCCTTTCCAACAACCCGAAGGCACCTCAGAATGCTTCAGGCACCTCCTCATAGTTCATTTTCAGTCCCACACTTACTCCTGGTAAAGCTGACCCCAGCAGAGCAGACCTTGGCTCTAGCAGAGCCCCATCATATATTTTCAAGCCAGTATTGCTCCCCTTTCTGTCCTCATTCTCATGCATTCCCATTGCTACAGGCACATAAGTAGCTGGGGGATGCAGCTCAGATGTCGTCTCCTGCAGGCAGCCTCCTGATCTTTCCTTCTCTCTGCTCAGGCCCTGATCTCAGCTCCTAGCTCTTGCCAGCTGCACACATCATCCCCCCAGGAGAGGGCAGGGCTAGGGATCAGCTCTCTGCGGGCCAGGCACAGTTGCTGGCGCAGGGAAGGCGAAGAGGAAATAACTGCGACCATTAAGACCAGAGAGAAAACTCTCAGGAGCTAAAGTGGAAATTATTAAGAAACAAAATGATAGCTATTTTAAGGCTGTAGGCAAGCAGAACCTGGGTCAACTCTAAACTGGTACCTGAAAATTAAGTGCTGAATGAACAATCGGCGTAATATAGTTTAACATAATAATCATAAATCATTTATATTTTTTAAAAAACCCAAAAAGTGTTAAAACTCCTACAATCTACACACTAAAGATAAAATATTTCAATTTTAAAATTGTCTCATTTAAATTTTTTCTTCTTAATAAAATTATTTCTTCTCAATGAATTTTAATATTAAATTTCCCCATTAATAAAATATCAGAAACAGTAGAGTCGACAGCCCCAGGTGTGAGTCCTCACTGTATCATCGACTAACTCCATGTCACTTTGGACAACTCACAATGTCTCTTTGGGCCTCCGTACTTCATTTGTAAACTAAGAAGACTGGGCCAAATGTTTGAAATTGTTCTGCAGTATTTCTAATCCCCTTTTTAATATGCTTCAAGTTCCATTTAAAAATAATGGGAGTATCAACTGCCTTTATTAAATATTAATTGTCCTATTTGAAACTAACCAAACACATAACTTTGAATTAATGTTTATCATCATCAAACAACCAGTGAGTAGAGACTGAGCAAAAAGAGCTGACACTTTAGCAGCCAACGCAGCTTCCATGTGCAAGTGTGAACTATTTTTGAAATGTGACATTAGTTTCAAGAACCTTTTGGGCTTGAACCCTCGGGTAAGGAATTACTGAACTGGGCAGTTTCTTGAGCAGATTCTTTGTGCTATTTATGCACGGGACTATTTGTGCACACAGGTATGTGCTGTGTACACGTCTAGGGTATTATGTAAATACCGTTTCGTATTAGAATATTTTGCCATTGGATCTCTTTGCATACCATCGATATCTCCTCCAATATTTAACATTTAAAATGTAACCTGCGTGAATTTCTAGAACTCCCAGTGCTATGCATCTGGTTTACTTGCCCTGCCTGCAAACTGTAGGGCTGATTTCTTTAAACTGTGGTACACGTGTGCCCCGTGAAAGCTGTTGTGAAGAGCTGAGGGTAGACACATGCTGCATGTATCCCCTCGTGCCTTTTTAAAGGCCAATACTCATGAACAACTGAAAGCAGTCTGTAGACTGCCCAACCTCCTCGTTCTATCCCTAGCACTCTGCCTGCCACACTGTAAGTGTCCAAGAGACTGCGTGACTGCCTGACCTGTGCACAGTCACACTGTGATCTATCCCACATGTGAGTTCTGCTGATCACAGAACCACGTCCATCCAAGGGCTACAAAGGTTTTGGAAAGTTTTTTTTTAAATCTCTCTTCTTATGTAAATATTCAGTAAAATGTAACAAATTCCTGTTGCCTTCTGCTTTTCAGCGACTCAGTTAAGTGTGGGTTACTATGCCAAAGATCTGGGCCCAAACTGATGTCCGTTGAGAGAATACAACAAATTTGGTTACCGGTGAGAAGTTCTTCATGACCAGTGGGATCAAATGCAAGATTTTAAGATCAGGAAATGTATCAGGAAAGCAAGAGCTTTAATTCGGTTATGAGGTGTGAGACCAGGTGGGATGGGGTGCAGAATGGGTGGATACCCTTGGATCTGCAGAGTTCTGTGCCCCATTCTAGTCCCACAGAATCTATTTCAGAAGAGGACAACGAGTACTAGGTCTGCTCAGCAGGAGGCTCTCCCAACACAGCCTTTGCAAGGGTGTGAGAGAAAAGTCCTGATGATGGGAAAAGAACAGGATGATTACAGCACATTAAGCTGCGGCATGGAGAGGCATTCTTTGATCACAGCACTGGTTTCTCTCTCCCCTTAATCCCACGTTGCCATGGTACCTATTAACACTCCAGGGCTAAACCGTGTCTGTGAGGCGGCAGGAAGTGCTGCTGCCTTACTGCAGCAAGAATTTGGTGACATTGTCTGGTATCACAAATTCACAGAGAGCTGTAATAACACCATTAGAAGGTACTTACACTATTAGGAGACAAAGACAGATTACAAAATTTAGCTTCCACTTCTCTCCTCGTCAGCTTTTCTGTCTAATGAAGAAGAAAAAGGTAACAATGAGAGTGACCAAATGGCCCTGAACGAGATACAGTTTTCAGGCTAATTCTGATAAGTACAGTCTTCATTTCGGACAAACTGCTCCTAATCATGAAGGATATATTAATTCTACCATTTACAAAAGCTGTTTTCCAATTCATAGAAAAGTATAACTAACATTGTTTTAAGATTTGAAAAACCCTGACGTGAAAGAATTAAAAAGGGGAAAGTTATTCTTGCTGACTGGTGAGGCAACTCCTAGCTGGGCAGGCTCAACTAGGGCGTGTCTGTTTGGGTGGTTCAGTGGACCTGGTTCCCCTGATAAAACCACACGCTGACAGGCTCAGTGTTTCATCCCACGCTGGCATTTAGGCTGTGAGCAAGGCTGACCTGAAGCCCCCCCGCAATGTCTGACTGACATCATACTGTATCCGTCACTGCTAAACAGCAGCAGCCCTTTTGGGGGAGAAGAAAACCACTGGAAACAAACAGTAATGTTAGGGTCCTCAAGGGATACCTGCCAGATGAAAGAAAAGCTAGCTAAGCCTTTTGGTGTATAAAAAACAGTAAGTCATTATGGGCTTCCACTCTGTGTTCTGCCTTAATCACAGACTGCCTGGTACTGTTAGTTACTGAATCTCCTAGATGCCTCTTATTTATTATTAAAACAGTATTTAAATGGAAAAAAAAAGTTATAAAAGATAAGCAAGCATTCACCTTCATCCCAGCCTCATAATATCACACTATATAAAACCCGGTTTTTTCCCTCCAGGCTCTGCACACACTATAGAGGAATGAATACTACCATGTGGTTAACTAGGAAGAGGAACTGGAGGTGCCACTGTCCGGGTCCCACAGGAAGGAGCTGGTAAATGAAGCTCCAACAGAGCTAAACTACTCTTCCCCAATTCAACCAATCAAACCTATAAATGACTTTACTGATAAGCACAGGTAGGTTGGAGGAATTAAGGGTAGGGCTGTAAGTCTTTTATTCTCAATATTAACACTCCCTTCTCTTGGCCTCTGTCAATCAAGTATAATAACAGCACTTGTGAAGATGGAGTGAGTTAATCCATCTAAGGAGATTAGGATAATGCTTGCCACATGGGTAGGTGCTCAATAAAGGTCATTACTGGCAAGTATCAGCACCGATTTTTTTTGCCTCCAGAAATAGGTTAGTGAAGAACTTTATTATCTTACAAATGAAATAAGACAACTTGATCTCTTATAATCATAAATTACTCTTTAAAAATACACCCTGGAAGTTACTAGTAGTACAAGTCTTATTCCAGAATAAAAGTTCAACCAGACCTGGCCAGTTTACACAGTGGTTAGAACATCAGCCTGCAGACCAAAGATTTTCCGGTTCAATTCCAGTCAAGGGCACGTACCTCGGTTGTGGTTCCATCCCTGGCCCTGGTCGGGGTCATGCAGGAGGCAACCAATCAATGTGTCTCTCTAACATCGATGGTTCTCTTTCTCTCCCTCCTATTCTATCTGAAGATAAATGGAAAAATATCCTCAGGTGAGGATTTAAAAAACAAAACAAAAAAAGAGCTCAACCAATACTTGTTAACTGTTGATATAATCAAAGAGAATTGGTTCTTTTACCTTATAGCAATGAAGGAAGGAGATAAAACTCCCAATTCAAAGTTACAGTTATATCAGTAAGAAAATACTCATAAAGTAATTAAATGCTTACCACGGCATCATACAGAATAATGTAGACTTGACTGAGTTTATCCTCCGGGATCCCACAGTGTAAGAGTATTGCTTTCAATAACATGGTATGATTCAAGTAAATTCTGTAATTTCTTTCCTAGGATACCCCCCCAAAAGAGATTATTTTCATTATAAAGGCAATATAGGTACATGACCAAACCTAGGATTTTACCACCAATTTACAATCCTAACACATGAGAGACTGAAATTTAACATACTGCTTTCTAGCTTATTTTTTCATATACATACATTCTTTTTACATTTGTTATAGTCAAAGAGCATAATATAATTTAACGCTTTGTTACACACAGATACTCTGGCCTTCGAGCAAATTCATACAGATTTCAAGAGGGAAAGGATCTGGTTCAGAGGAACTGACTTATACACACAGGCTGGTGACACAGCTATCCTTACTTTTGTCCACACAAGCCAATTAATGAGCATTCAGAGTTGTGAGCTGTGTGCTGAGCTGGGTGCAGCGGGCATGCAGAAAGGTAGGCACAGGGGTTCTGCCCGGAAAGAGCACACCCTCTCCAGGAGCTGTGCCTCGGGGAGCTGCCCGCACCTTCCTCTCCCTCTCCTCACCCCATGCACGTTCCCTTTGCCTTTCTCTCTGCTAAGCTCCAAGGGCCCTTCTTCTGCCTCTGTAACTTGTTTCCCGAGCTTACGAAGCCCAGCTGGCTCACTTATACTATTTCTGTAGCTTTCTAAATAAACTTTCTCTTATAATTTGAAAAAATAAAAAATAAAAGAGCACACACTCTGACTGAACAACAAGAAATACAACTCAAGGTAGCAGGTGATGTCTCATCTCAAGTGCTGTGAGAGTTGGAAAAAAAAGGTGGCCAGCCCATCAATGGGGGGGCAGTCAGGCTTCCTGGGGAGAAAGGGCCCAAACCATGGCTGGGTGGAGAAGAATCTTTCAAGACAAGGGAACACCGTGACTGACGCACTGCTGTGGGAGCGCACAGTGCAGGTATGTGGGACCAGGAGGGAAGGTTGAGGAGAGCGAACCCTTGTGTTTCCAGGGAGCACGTGAACATGATGAACAGTGAGGCTGGGGAGTTGAGAGATCAGGTGTAGGAGGGAGCCCCCTAGGGCTCTGGAGAGGCTTTGAACGTGCTAAAATAGCATCCTAGGAATCTTAGCCCAATTTCTTACATTTTGGAAGAATGGGCAGAAAAACAACACCCTTCCCCCAAAACAAAACAAACAGACAAAAACAAAGCCTGTTCTTGTCAAGGCCAAGGTAAAAGCCTGGGGCAAACCTCAAAAGCAACATCATCAAACTCTGTGTCACTTGAGCAAGAATGACTCGCTGTCGCACACACAGGCGCAGTTCGCAGTCGCTGCCCCCGCCCACACCTGATGGAGGACTCTGGGGGGTAACCTCAGAATGTTAGAAAACGGGAAGGAACCTGAAGGGCTGGAAACTCCTGTATGATTTCGTAGATCGTATAGATGACTTCAGCAGTGGGCAGAGAGCTGTTGGTGGTAGAGGTGACGATATCAAATGCACATTCCAGAAGTTCTTTGGGATGAAATCGGTCTAACTTGCGAGGTCTGAACACACGTTCTATGCAGTACCTGGAGAAAGAAACCCGGATTTCTAAGGTCATTGCATACTGGAAACAAATATGCATAAGAAATTGGTAAACCAAAAGGAGAAACATCTGTAACAAAAATAAATAAATTAATTTAAAAAAAAGAAACTGGTGAACCAGATAAACATAACAAATACGAAAAAAATTAGTCAGCAGTATGACCAAGAAAGCTCAAAGAAAGATTTGCCCAGAACAGTTTTGCCTTGTGATCTAGGTTCTAAGTCCCAGTTTTCCCATTATTAAATATGAAGCTTAATTTTTTCATGCAATGTCGGAAATAGAGATGAAATTCCAAACAAAAATAATTGTACCTTAAGTGCTTGCTTTCTACACAGTGATACCCACACCTCAGGACTGTGACTATTAATTGTTCACTTGCAGCTGAGCATAAAAGCATGTAAAGAGCTTTGATTTCTTTTGCGGAAAGGAGCCTAAAGTAGGGTGCCTCCTGGACGACAATACTGCTCCAATCTATGAAGACCTTGGTGTCAGACCCCTGTGGTACTGAACGACCAGAAAATGTCCCCAGTGCTAAGTGCCTGGAGCTGCTCAGGGGTCAGCACTCCTGCTGCGTTTACCCCACCTCCCTACACACAGCTTTCATTCAGTTACCTGTGTAAGCAGTTTTCACACAGGGACCACTGGCCATTTGTCCTTCCAATTAAATTTTAAAAGGGGCCATCTGTCGTCAAGAACGGCCAAATGTTTTGTTTTTTTTTTTCAAGCAACTATTGGAGAAAATAATTAGTTATGTTGCTTGGGGAGATTTAGAAGTCACAGAAGAGACTGCAGGAGCTGCAGGGGACCCACCCAATTGCTATTTTCCTTCTAAAGAGGAGGCTGACTGTCCTCATCACTTTATAAAAATGGCTACTGTGCCGAGGTTTTTTGACCATATTCTAAGCTCAATACTTTAAACCCTAAATTCTTTACTATGTAAAGATCACAGATGAGAAATTCTTCCTGGCTATTTTCCCCCACATCCACAAAACGAAACCTCCATTGTTTCTTACCGTTTTAAATTCAATATATTATTTCTTGCCACGTATCTTGCAAAAGGAACCTGAGAAATAAAGTTTCAAAGGTCAATCAAGTTGTGCCAACTAGCACACTCCTTTGGTTTTTGAGATATAACTCATATACCACAGAGTTCACCCTTTTCAAGTGTACAAGTCTGTGGATTTTAGTACATTCACAAAGTTGTGCACCACTTGTCATTCATATTCCTTGAAATGTTCCTGACTGTGTCAGTTAGCAGCAGACCCCACCACTGGACACACCATCAGCCTTATTACACTGTGGTATTTCTTAGGTTTTTAAGTTTGAGAAAAATTCACTTTTAGTCAAATATACTCTGCTAAATTTTATTGTGCCAAGTTAAAATCAGTGCAAGTTATTTGTGAAATTTTAGTGTCATTTACGATAATGCAATCAAAATGGGTTCTCTCTTCTGGTGAGTTCCCTGATTTTCCTATCAATCTCTTAGGAGAAATTCTTAATCACTACCCACTAATAAAACCATTTTTAGACTGTCCCAAGAGATCTGTTAGCATCATTAACTAATGGGTCAAATTCTAATGTGTAATTACTTTTTATCTTTTGAAACTGTCAGCTCACAGAAAGGGAGCTGATGTTTAAAATCTATACTTGAGTCTCCTAACGTGTAGAGAAGCAGCAGCGTTTTAAGTATCATTGTATAAACGTTTGTACTTCTACCCTTTCTGCAACAGAGCCCAAATGTCTGCTATTTATTCACCTCTCACTCAAAATAATCCCAAATCACTTTACTTATTGTATAAGAAAAACAAGCCAAGCCCTGGCCGGTTTGGCCCAGCGGTTAGAGTGTCGGCCCGCAGATCAGAGAGACCTGGGTTCGGTTCCACTAGGGGCACATACCTCGGTTGCAGTTTGTCCCCGGCCCCAGTTGGGGTTGTGTGTGTGGCAAACAGTCGATGTGGTTCTATCACAGCAATGTTTCTCTCTCTCTCTTTCTCCCTCCCGCTCTATCTGAAGATAAATGCAAAAATGTCCTCGGGTGAGGATAAAAAAGAAAAAAAAAAAAAGAAAAACAAGCCAAGAATATGGAAGAATTTTTTTCTTAAACCAAAAAAGCAAAACATGTTCTTGTAATAAGCTGCACAACATAGGTATGAAAAATGCCTTGATTCCATACTCTCTCCAGAAAAATACAAAGGCTCAGTATCTTGACACTTCACTCTGTGGTGTACAAACAAGTGGGTGTCTGTGGTCATACACATGCACGTGAGAGCATGTTTACACCTCACAAGTACCAGGTGATGCAAACATACAGTGCACCTTATGCACACACTCAGGTTTTTTTTTTTAAGTTTCTTTCTTTATAATAAAAATGGGATCATACTAGAGTTACTTTGAAACAATTTTTTCCCCAGTTAACACTATACCATGGATATTTCTACAGATCAAATATAGATATGGATATACCTAAATACATATATATGTGTACTTTGATCTTATACCTCGTTAATATTCCATAGTAAATTATTCAATCATTTTTCTATAGATGAACATGTAGTTTTCAGTTTTCCACCACCACAATATAATATTCATACATCAATGTATTTTTCTTTTCTTTTCTTCTTTTTTTATTATTTATTTATTTTTATCCTCACCTGAGGACATTTTTCCATTTTTTTTGTTCAGATGGAGTGGGAGGGAGAAAGAGAGAAACATCGACGTGAAAGGGACACATCAAGTGGCTGCCACCCGCACGACCAACCAAGGCCAGGGACAAACTGCAACCGAGGTACGCGCCCTTAGCAGGAATTGAACCCGGGTCGCTCTGAACCGCAGGCTGATGCTCTAACCGCTGAGCAAAACCAGCCAGGGCTATTTTTATTTTCTTTAAATCAATTCCTCAAAGTGGAGTTCCATGTTCACAGGGTATAGTTTATGTATCAAAAATTATTTTAGTAAACACTTTCAGATTACTTTTCTAAAGGTTTGGCTATTTACATTCCCATCAGCAGCATATGAAAGTACCTATTTTCCTATACCCTTGTCATCTCTGGATATTAATTTAAATATTTTTGCCAGTCGGATGGGTAAAGTGGAGATACCTATACTTGGTATTTCTTCATTATCAGTGAGGCTGAACATCTCAGAAGTTTATCAGCCCTGTGCATTTTCTTTCAAGAATTTCCAGGTTAAATCCTTTACTCATTTCTTTACTTATAAGTGCTTTCTTTTCATTAGGAGTATTAAACTGTCTGTCTTATGCATGTACAGTGCTACAGATGGGCTGTCAGCAGCCAACCCTATGTGAGTGAACAGCTGTAGGTATTGCTGTCACCCTGGCTGGTTTGGCTCAGCAGTTAGAGCGTCAGTCTGTGGTCCAGAGAGACCCAGGTTCGGTTCCTGCTAAGGGCACGTACCTCGGTTGCAGTTTGTCCCCGGCCCTGGTTGGTTGTGCGGGTGGCAGCCACTTGATGTGTCCCTTTCACGTAGATGTTTCTCTCTCTTCCTCTCTCTCCTTCCCACTCTATCTGAACAAAAAATGGAAAAATGTCCTCGGGTGAGGATAAAAATGAAAAAAAAAGAGTGTTGCTGTCATAGGAATCCCTGGGGATTGGAAGGAAAGCAAGCATGAGCAAAATTCAGCACATCTAGTTAGCAGAGACACTGCTGTTATAAGAATTTAATTGTTTTAGACATTAACATGTTAGGAAGTTGCCGAAGATCTACCCCAGAAGTAAAGGAAAAAACTCCTCTTATTTGTCTCAGTTGGCCTGGTTAACTCATTGTGGTCACTTGGCAGAGCTCAACCTTGAGGTACAGACATCGCACCTGCGATGCAGGGTTCCAGATTCTAGGGCCGACAGCACTTAACTTGATTAACAAAGTAGAGGTACACAGGGTCAGATGATTACTAAATTCCAGTAATGTTCTCAGCCAGACAACTTCCTTAGAAATATGTTCCCTAAGGGTGACATTTCAATTTTAAGACCAGCCAAAATAAAATCAAAGTTAGAAAGATTGGTGGGGGTAATCCTTTAACAGCTGTGCTAGCCCTGCGACCAGACAAGGCATCCGAACGGCCAGCAGAGCGTGCCCAGTCTCACCCGAAGGTCGAAAGGAAGCATCACCAGCATCCCGCTGTGGTCCATGAACAAGGCGGCTTCATTGTGCTCATATATTTGCCTATTTCGGGGAAGCAGCAGTGGGGTACACAACTGGACAGCTCCTAGACCAAGTCAGAAAAAAATAACTAGCCATTAGGTCCCCATTCTTCCTAGGAGGCAGGTTAAAATGAACACAAACCTGACAGTGAGGTCCCCGGTTACAAGGACTGTGGAAATCATCATCAGCTGTGGTCGCTTCTCAATGGAGAGCTCACCTAAGGCTAAGTTTGCCAATCTAGTCTAGTTCTGCCTCCACAAAACAGCTGTACTTTAGTAGCACGGCTGTATATTAAAATCTGTTTCTCCTCAACAAGCTGAATTATAAAACTAAGCTTAAATGTCACATGATGTCAGCGGCTTGTAATTGAATTTAAAAGTAAAATATACCTGGCCAGTGTGGCTCAGTGGTTAAGCACCAATCCATGCACCAAGAGGTTGCCAGTTTGATTCCCGGTCAGGGCACATGCCTAAGTTATGGGCCTAATCCCTAGTGGGGGGCATGCAGGAGGCAGCCAATCGATGTTCTCTATCATCGATGTTTCTATCTCTCTCTCTAAAAATAAAAATAAAAAAAATTTAAAGAAAAAAGTAAAATATAATTGCACTCAAATCCATGAACAGTACTTTCTAATGATGGAAAAAAAAATCTTTTCAGAAAACATACGATTTTTT